CATCATCATCATCATCATCATCATCATCATCATCATCATCATCATCATCATCTTATATGCCACCTAACTCCCAGCAACTCCAAGTTGCATCTACCATTCTAGAGTATTAAGCAAGGAGATTCAGCCATCAGTACTGGCTCCATCAAGAATATTTCCACTGGTTGTTTTTTATTTCTTTTTTTCATCCAATAAAATTTTTAAAAATCCACAAAAGTGATAAATATGCAATGTTATTAGCACTTGTAGCTCTCAAATTGAATGAAATATCTGGTGAAGTCCTGCTGAATGAATTTCCTGAGTACATAAATTTTGATCAACTAAAACACAATATAATTACAGAAAGAGCAGCAATGACCAACTGTAATTAATGGTGCATGATAATATCCACTCTTTTGCTAATATTTCCAGCTGCCCACCTCTTGTGCAAAGCATTTCATCATTTTCATGTTTGTTTGTTTTTTAATGTTTTCTTCAAAGTGACTGTTAGCTCAGTGGCATTTTTCTAAGTGCAACTCTAATTAATTGAATTGCCTGCCCTCATTCACAAGAGAAATAAAATTCATTATCTGATAAATAGAAAATAGAGTTTGAAAAGGTTAAAAATTGTGGAAGTTGTAACATTTGTCATTCTTATATTAGAACTTTAAAATTAATGAGCATGGTATTTCAATAATGCTAATCGAAAAATTATTCTTGCAAACAAAAAGAAATTTACTTGGCATTCAACATTAGTCAAGTGAGAAAAACTGAACTTGTTCAAGTTGCAGTCCACCAGTTCTTAGATGAGTTAAGGTGGCCTAGTTTCACTTTATACTCTGTACTTAATGATTTCACAGGCTACTGCTTAGGTGACTGCAAGTCTAAGTACAAAGGCAGAACCTCTTTTTATGAGAAGCATGCTTCCCATTCTATATTATCAGACCGAGCCTTTGCAGTGCTTTCTACCATGTTACCTAGAGAGAAAATGAGAAGGTTGAAATTTCCTGGATTACTATATATTTTATCCTTGGAAACTGTTGCTACAATAATACCAATAATCTTCTAATTCAGTGGTTTGCAGCTAAGTTTATTGATCCATAGCAATCTTCCTACAGAAGAATCACCCATCTTATCCCAAACTTGCCAGTTCACAGCTAAGCCAGTAGATGATCTTGCTGGATTTAATATTCTGCTGGATATTTAAAAAAACGATTTCCCCACTGATGGTGGTGGGTGATAGAAATATGCTCAGTCCAGAGTTGATGTGGATGACTGACCTACACTGGAACCATTAGGGGCAATGAAGCAGCTTCTTGTTTCTTTAACATGTTATTCTGTCCTGCTGGCTTCTGCCAATGGTAGAGTTGAACAAAGGTTTCTACCAACAATAACAGAACCATTCCAGTGATGCTTTTCTTTACTGACCTCCAGCAAATAACACTGGAGTAGAATTAGGATGGTACTCTTAGAACTGTAATTCAAACAATTATGCTATGGAGTTGTTTAAAAAATAAAACTTAGGTATATAAGAGAGCCAGTTTGGTGTCTTGGTTAAGGCATCAGGCTAGAGACCAGGAGACTGGGGGTTCTAGTCTTGCCTTAGGCACAAAGCCAGCTGGGTGATCTTGAGCCAGTCACTCTTTCTCAGCCCTAGGAAGGAGGCAGTGTCAAACCACTTCTGAAATCTTCCCAAGAGAACTGCTCAAAGGCACAAAAAACAAAACAAAAAAAAACCCACTGTGCATCAAAGGAAAGACAAACTTTGTATCTTTCTGAATTCTCCTCTAGCTCAAATTGAGGAAGAATAATCTTTCCTAGTACACCATCAACATCATTTTCTTACCTCCCTAAGAGGGTCATTGAGTTCATTAAGAATGCTTTCTTCATCAAAGATCTTGCCTTGGTAACGGTGCTCATAATAATCATGGATTTTTTGACGCATATCCGCAGGTAGCTTGTGAAAGGACATGTACTGTTCCACTTGTTTGTACTAGAAGAAAAAAATATGAAACATCACTGCAAAGTATCTCAGAATAATATGAAAAGCCATATGCAGTGCATTACTAATATTTTAAAATTATGGTTATTAAAAAGAGAATGCAAGCATAACAGCTTTATAATTCAGAGTGCTTTGGATTGTGAATGAAAATTATTTTTCCTAGCACACTGTGCTATTAAATATATTTATTTTGTTTTTCTTACTTTCTAGTTTATGAAAGTTGGACTCAATAAAGACGTTTTTCCAGCCATGGATTGAGGTTTCTTTTTTTAATGGAACAACATGATCACCTTTGTTTTCCTTATACTTTTCAAATATATTTTTGATTGCCATGTTGATCCATGAGAAACAACACTACAATGTGGGGATTTCTAAGCACAATTTAAAGGGAAGACACACAATAGCCCCGATGGATTAAACCAAGATCTTAGTCTAGCATGTTTTTCTAATGGTGACTAACCAGATACCTCTGAGGTGCTAGCAAGTGGGAGATGTAGTCCCCTCCTCTTGTAGCAATATGTATTTTGTAGGCATACTGTTCCCACCATGGAGATGACATTGAGTCAAGACATGATAAACCAGTCCTCCGTGAATTTATCCAATCCTCTTTTAAAGCCAAACAAATTAGTGGCTACAACTACATCTTGCAGTAATGAATTCCATGAGTTAATTATGCGCCGTCTGAAGAAGACTGTATGGGGTTCTGGCCAATCCTTCAGAAGATTAGTTGAATGAGCAATGAATGCATTATGTAGTTTCCTGCAGCTGCATCCATTGCAGCAGAAAATTGTTAATGGAAAACAAGCTATCTAGAGGAATAGTAGCACCAGTTTTTCAATTTCAGAGGGCTGGTTCACAGGAAGATAGGAATCCCTCTTTCTTCTTGGACATTTTTTATTACATCTGTTTCAACTTGCAATAAATGGTTGTCTTCAGTCAAACAACATTCTCTTAATCCTTTCCACAAAATCTTGAGAAAGGTCAATTTATTTCATTCAGTCATTACTCTACATAGCTGATTCTTTTTTCATATTTAATAATTACTGACAATATCATTGTCAACTGACAATTACCACAGAGATGCTGGGATTCTTTAAAACTGCCTTAGCAAAATATCTTGAACCAAAACGCGGTGGGGAATAGTTCTGTAACTCATATTTTACTTTTTATAGCTCATAAATATGCTTTTTCTGATGATAATAATTTATTTAAAAATTCTTGAGAAATTAGGCAGTATACTGAAGTAGCAATGCTTTATTCTTTCACTGTTTACTTTTTCTGTTTCCACTTTTTCCCACAAACAGTTGCATTCACATACAAGTGCACAACACACATTCCAATCTCAAAATAAGTCTCCATGCATCTGAAAATCAATCACTCAATCATTTGTTTTTCCTTTCTACTTGAACATTTTTAAAGACTAATTTAATTTTTGTCCCCTACCATTTATACACATGTGTTTGTATACCCATACACCCATTTTTAATAAAGTCAGTCTGATACCACAGATTCCATGTTAACGTTATGGTGGTAAAAAAAGAACGGTCAGCAAGACATGTCCTAAGATTACTAATATAGCTCTATGATGGTATTTTAAGAACATAAAAATCTCTTCCTGTACAGACAGAAACTGAAAGTTTGTAACAATTTTGGAAATTTTCAACTGGTCGCAGCTTCCGGTGGGGATTAATGGTGGTTTAGGTGTCTTTGAAATAGTTGAGAGGGCACTGCGGCTGATTGGTGGCTGGCAGCAAGAGCTGACTGCTCAACTTGCTCCAGATCAAGGAGGAAGAGAGAAATCAACAGCTGTTCCTCGAAAGCTAATTGTGGAGACAAACACCTCTGCAAATGGCTTTCAAATTGAGCGGCTGGGAGGCGGGGAATTCATCTCTATTTGCAGCTGTGGTACAGCCTTTTATGGATCCTAGAGGTGACTGGCTCATTTCTAAGCTCTTTGGATTATAATTATTTTTGGATTATAATTATTTTTCAACTTAAGAGAGACCTTCCTTTGCAACAGAAAAGTAATTCTCTTGGGGCTTATCCTTATTTTTAGGACTATATTTTTAAAAGAAGAAATAGAGCTTTAATTTGAACCTGAATTCAAATTTGAATTTTGCAAAAAGCTGGATGAAAATTGGAATTAAAAGAGACTTAAAAGTTACTTATAGTGAAAAGGGAAGATTTATTTGTTAGAAGTTTATTTTTCTATGCAATTCCATTTGCAGTAACAAGGTTTGCTTTTTTCCATGGGAAAGTTTCTTGTTTTGCTGGACTATGCTTGTTAATTGGCTGGGTTTCTAAAACAGAAGGAGATTGTAACTTGATCCCTGTGTGTTTCCTTTGACACATGCCTGCAATTCCAGCTTGAAAGACACCAGAAGGCATGAACTGTCAGTTTACTTTCTCTTGTATTTAATTATATCTGGCTATCTGTTTTACTTGTGTAAAGGGGGAAAAAATAGAAAGAATATGGCTACGAGGAAGGCAATGAAAGAAATTAAAGCAAGAAGAGGCTCTGTACAGCAACCGTTAGAGAAGATGGTTGTTTTAAGTTTACTTAAAGCAATGTTTGATGAATTAGGGGCTAAATTTGTGACTTTGGAAAAAAAAATAGAAGACAGAATAGATAAGATGGACAGTCATATGAAATAAATAGTTGAAGAGATGAAACAAATTTCTGGAGAAATGAAATGAGACAGAAGATGAATAGGATAAGGACCGTATGATAAAATGGGCTAAAATTTTTGGCTATAATATACAGATAGTACAATGAGAAAATACATGGCAGAAAAGATTGAAATTTACATTGTGTTATAACCTTAAAGATAATTTTTATAAAATAATGTATCATTGGTACTTGTCTCCAGAAAAAATATCTAAAATGTACAAAGATACATTGAATGTATGCTGGAAATGTGAACAACAAGAAGGGACATTTTATCATCTCTGGTAGATTTGTAAAAAAGCAAAAAAATGCTGGAATGAAATATATATGTGTATACAGAAGATTTTAAAGATTAATATTCAATCAAAACCATAGTCTTTTCTTTTGGGTTTGATGGACAAACGTTTGGAAAAACTTGTGGAGTCTTGTTTTTATATACAATAACAGCAGCAAGGCTTTTATATGCATACATGTGGAAAGATAAGACATTACCTACAACGAAAGAATGGATGGTGAAGTTGATGGAGTTGGCTTAGGTAGCAAAACTGATGGCTTGGATTTCAGATAAGACACTGTGTAATTTTAATGCTAACTGTAAAGCTTTTTTGGACTTTTCTGGGGAACAGAAAAAAATGAAATTATGTTGTATGGATTTGAGGATTAGAAATAATATGGGTTAATAGAAATAATGGAAGTTATGTCATAAGTTTAGAACAAGAGTTTGATGTATACTGTTACTTATATCTGTTGCAAGGAGGTTCTGAAGTCAATTCTCTTCTTTCTTTTGTTGTTTCTCTCTTTTTCTTTTCCTTTTTGCACTTTTGAGCTTTACTATTTTCTTTTTTTCAAATTTTTTCTTCTTTTTCTTAATATTAATTTTTGTTAGTTTTTATTATTTTTTTTAAAAAATAATCAATTTATTATTTTAAAAAAGGAAACTTTCAATTGTTCCAATAAAGGAATGTTTTTATAGATGTTGAATTTTTTCCCCCTTATACTTAGCTCCCCACCAAAACCAGTGATGAGGACGATCTTGTCAACCAGTTATGTCAACCTGGCTCGTAGCCAGAAAAACCAGTGATCAAAGGCAGTTAAATATGTCATCCCATGTGGGAAAATTCAGGGACAATCTTCAGTGTCAAGCCAGCCTGACATCCCAGAAAAGTAAGTGGAAAAATTAAGACCTTATTTTTTAAAACAGTTTTTGAACAATTGTTGCTTTTAAATTGGGGTAGACCACCTGGTGCACTGATTAAACACAATTAGGATTTTGGTTATAAAAGTTGGAGACGGTTGTGCTACTTGTCCTCAGCCTTAATCTCTGCCTTAAAAGAAGTGAGAAGGAATATTTGAAAAAAAATATTGCAGTGAAATCCTTTACGTTTTCCAGCTAAATGTAGGGAGGGGTTAATGCTCTGTAAAGAGTATTTTATCCCTGCCAAAAAAGAAACATTTCTAAGAACTCTGATGCTTTCCAATTATAACCTGTGGGCAATTTCTTTTAATTGACTCTCAAATCTCAAAGAGGCTTGAACTGAATCATTTGCCCAGGAATCTCAAAGTCAGATCAAATCATCCCCTCTTTGAATCTTGAATTTCCAATTCAAAGTGATTCAGGGGTGATTAGCATATGGCTATTTTTATGGTTTGCCTATGGCTAGCTGGCACATGAAAGCAATGACCTTCTCTTTTTTTTGCTTCTACAACCTATATGCACATTGGCTTTCTGCTGTATTACTTTTACTTTTTTTAACGTTATGTACACTGCCCTTGGATCCTTTCTGTTGGAGGAGGTGCTAATGCAATATATAAATGCATATGTACCTACCTCACATGGAAATTCCATTTAATGATGATGATAGTTTGACACTGAGGTTGCCCTTAAGTAGTTGATTGTCAGTAAAGAATCGAATGTGAGGCCATGGCTTAGATGAGATAGAGCTCTAACTCTTCCCCACCCCCCAGCCCCCCAAAGATGTCAGACTGGAGTTGGACCTCCTTGCTATCTGCAATAGGGAAAAAGCTCCCATTGGCTGGGGGGGGGGGGTCTTTCTTCCCACTGTAAAAAGCAAGTGTAAGTGTAAATATTTTTATTGTGGCAAAATCTGTCAATCCACAAAAATTTACATATGACCTAATCTTTGCAATGCTTCATTGCATCCTGCTACTCGGTGACTCTAACCAATACAGTATATCTGTAGACATCCATTGCTAACTATGATGATGGCAAATTGACAAAACATGCATGACATTACAATGCAGACTCCACCCTTTCACACCATCACACCTAAATACATCAGTGGCTGAGTTTGTGTCACTGTGT